CACAGGTCATATTAAGGATTATAGGTACCGAACATAATATCTACTTTAGTATGTTAGACACTATTATTATTTATAAAATATTAAGATCGTAAATTATATCTCCTGTGGCTCTTTTAATTATTATTTTTTTTTTTAAGAAATAATGAAACATACGTAGGCATAAAAAATTTAAAATATTTATCAAGGATAAACATACCAACATCCATTATTTCAATTTATTTGTCCAGGATATCCTGTGTAGTCGTGTAGGATTAAATTTTAAAGATAAATGCTTGAATGTTTTCAATGCCGACCTATATTATTAATTTAGCAAACAATAAACTATGATAAATATATATTTTTGTTTTTTTTTTAATGAATCTAGATGTTACTTTTAATTTGTTATATGTAGAAACTAATTTCTTACAATTTTTAATTACCCAGTATAAATACTTCAGCTGTTTAAGGTGTCTTAAATATAGGCAAGTATAATTGAAGTTGGTATGTATAAGATAGAATAAAATCTATGTAAAATTTTTTATGAATATTATATTATATATATCATACCTATACATAAATAATATCTATAAATCTACTTTTTTAGTCTAACGTTTACAATAATAGATCCAAGATACACGAGATCACCACGTAAATAGGTCTTAGGAAAAAGTCCGGTACATCTACAATAATACGTAACATTATAACATAACCTGTAATAATATTTAAAATAAAAATCAATAACTTTAACCACCAGCAGGTTACATAAAAACATAGAATTAATTATTTATACAAAGGCAATAATATAATATACATATATAATAATAAATCTACACCTACCAGAATTTATTTGTTAATTTTGTCCAATAAATCCTTTAGTTAAAATTTGAATGTATATTATAAGTGTCAATACTAATTGGAACATTAATTGTATACCATATATTTATCTTATTTTCCTTTTACTAATTACATTATGTACCTACAGGATTATTTTTCTCTCGGACTTTTTGGTAGTCTATATTTGCTTCCATATTACTTGTAGGTAATCTATAACATACCTTAACAAAATTAAACAACAATATTTTTAATATTCTATCATGTATCTAAATTATAACATTTTTAGCTTAAAAAAATGATTTAGTTTGATTCTTCGGTGAAACATAAAATATTTAACGTTTAATCGAGCATATTAAACTTAATAGTGTGATACTAATAACAGTACTTAATAACTTTAAAAAGTAGTATTATTAAATATTATAAGCACATTAGCCGACCTCAGGCATTCAGGCTACATAATAAACTCATTAAATATGTATGTAACTATATAATAGCCATACATAATTTGTTTATGAATATTCACGCCTAAGTTAGATAAAATGTAGGTATTCTTTAAAGTTTAAGGTAGGTAGGTATACTGTTACATTAAATGACTAGTATCACAACTAAATAACTAAATAACTACATTAGTACTATTTATTTATCTAAAAAAAACAGTTGGGATAAGGTTATAAACAAATTACAAGGACACGAGGAAATAAATTGATTAGAGGATGACGCTAATAGCTTGAAAATTTGGTTTTTATGTTACTGATTAACCGGTAAAATAACAATATTGATTCAGATATTTTCATCCAGGTTACATTTCCTGCCCAAAACTGTACGTAAATTCATCACTAAAAAATGTCGCTTTAAAATATAAAAATCCAGTGACGTCATTTCAATTTTCACTAGAGGGAGGGGGCAAAAGTTTTGACCATCCCAAACGGAAATGAGTAACTTAAAAAAAAACCGGTTGCTTTAATCTCAAGTACAATATATTATCTACTTACGATTTTATCGAATTATCATTTCCACTTCACATACATTATGGTTTAAATATTTTTACTCTAACAGTTGCAACCCTTTTTATTAACTAGATAACAACATCATATTCAAATATAAGGAAGCAGATATTTTATAAGAACAATTGAAACAATTGTAGGTACATACAAATTAAAACTCTGTAAAGTAATATTATTTTAAGTTATAATAATAATAATATGTTATTACTTATTACTTATATTTATCCCTCGCTTTCTGGTTCAAGTTTTGTCTGCTTTTTTAACACATTAGAAATTGTTTGCGATTCTTGAGCGATTGACACTAACTTTTTTTTTTGCGCTTCTACTTTTGGTCACGCCACTCATTAAAAAAAGACATTTTTTTATACTAAAAAAATTATGGAAACACGTCGAAAAAAATTAATTTTTAAATGCTAAACTTAATCCAACATAATAGAGAAAAGTACACCGTTAACGACTGTCACAAAGTTAACTGAAGTCCTTCACAAAACACACACACACATACAAACCAACTTCCCAGCACTTCTCACCATGCGTCTAAATGTAAATAATATATTTCAACTATTAATTATTAAATATTAATTTATCATTATGGCAATAGTTGCTGAGCACTCAATTTAATATTAACTCAAAATATTGTAAAAGTAGGTAGGTAAGTATGTTTTTGTGCTAAAAAATTATAATAATGGTTAAGTGGAAACAACTCGGTATATAGACCCATCGAACTATTTTTAGAATCAGACAGTGCCCACCTTATCGCCCTCAAAATGACGCCACTTCATTAGTCCCAAATGGGAAACGATTTATATAATAGAACAGTAGGTATATATCATTATTATTGTCTTTTGGTAGGTACAACTGAACGCGTCTGAACGTGCTTATTGTATTATATAACATTAATGTTTAATATCATATTCTATGTATTGTATGTTTGTATACGATAAGTTTGTAGTACGATGAATGCATGCCAGTATGCCGCAACAAAGAGGGTTGGGGGTTGTAATCTCCTATCTGCAGAAATGTGAAGATTTTTACTAATTGTAACTCGTAATTATACATAGTTGTAAAATTTGTATTGCAAGATACTATAACCTTCAAATTTAAATTATCGTCTCTGTTGAATAAGTATCAAGAAGGTATCAAGTATTAAGTATCAAGTATCGAGTTACTTACGAATAATAAATAAACCAAATTAAAAGTTCTTTAAATATATTATATTATATTTTTAAATGTATAAATGTATTGAATTATTCAAATTATAACGATATTTTAAATAAAAAAATTAATTTTCAGTTATTTATTCCATCTATATAACTAAGAATTTCCATAAACGGAAAATTAAAAAAGGTTTTTAAATTTTTAATAGGAATCGACAGTCACCTCTGTCCTCAGAAAACGTATACAATGTTAAAATTAACACGGAGCTATAATATGTGTATAATATTCATATAATCTAAAAAACTGATGCCCAGTTTACATGTAACCCAATACTTTTGAACTTAATTTCGAAAAATGTATAATTTAGGTACTAACCTTATAAGTTATAACTACCTAATATAATAACACCCATACATAGTTCTAGCACGAGTAGCAGACCCCTACATTTTATCTTAACTCTTGAGTTACGACAACGAACAGAAGTTCCTGGAACTGAAAATTGATTCAAATTGACGTATTTTCTATTCGTACGAATGTATAATAAAAAAAAAAAATAGGAAGAACGTCAAAATTATTACGGTTGTACCTACCTACCATTGATTTTAAAATATACTAGTATATTTTGCTACCTACTAAAGATTGTAACATAAAATTATTATTACAAGCGTCGTCGTTGTGGTTAGGCAACTAATAGTACATATCATTGTCGTCTGTTCATATTTTCGATAACATGTGATATTGTTTTTTTTTTAACGTAAGAAAGTTGATATTATATTATTATGTAATTTTTTTTTAGTGCTTTTGGAAAGTAACTATGTAAGAACAATATTTGGAGTAAACAATATTATATATTAAATACCATAAATAGTTACTCAGAAAAAAAAACAGGCTAATAACCTCAGTTTTTGAAGCCTCTTTTCAATAAAAATAAATTAAAATAAATGAACTGTATCAACAATTGTAAAATTTAGGTAGGTATTACATAACAGTATTTGAGCTGTAGCCTGCAGCCTACTACAAATGTCCGTTAACAATGATGGTCTAGATACCTACTAGATTATTGTTCTATTAATAGGTAAATACTACATACATATCAAATTACAAGGGTACCTACTATTATAACGTGTGATTGAAATCTATATAGGCGCCTACATAAATAAACATGGAACTGCATAATTAGCCCGACGTCAAAGATGATGAGTAAAGAAGAACTGGTTTTGGATTTTTAGTTTTTACTCATGACCACGGCTACTCAAAGAACAAACAAGAAACTGATTCGTGTAGCCATGGTCCATGATAAATATAATTATACAAATATAATTTATCATGTCTGTAGCAGTGCTCATGATATTATATTAGAATGATAATAAATTAAGGTAGGTATTCAAAATTAATGTTATAATAAATATAATTATACAAATATAATTTATCATGTCTGTAGCAGTGCTCATGATATTATATTAGAATGATAATAAATTAAGGTAGGTATTCAAAATTAATGTTATAATAAAGGCAATAAATACAAATACATTAGAAAGTGTTTAGGATTATTCAAATCCAAAAAAAAAAAAAATCAATTGCAGTAAAATTATACCAATATTTAAACAGTCTAGTTCACTACGATGTGCATTGGTGAAATATTTATCATTCATAATCGTTACAAATTGTAAAAATTGGCTAACCATTTTCAACAAATCATAATATGTTACAAATAATTGAACACTTAAAATATAAATTATACGTTTTGATTCATCAAATTTAAATAGTGGCGTACAAAAACTATACTGAAGTTAGAGAATGTTGTGATGGTTTACCTAAAATGGAGAACATACATTTTGTTTTAAATAATCATATTTTTTATTCCAAACAAATTATTATTATTTTCAATAAGTACCTATCAAAATAGAAAGTTTGAACCAAAAGAATTAGTAATTACACATAGTAAATGACTTACAATATTAAAAATGATTTAAACAACAATTATAATAAATAATTATGTATTCCAAATACTTAATTTAGTTTTTAGGTGTCATTATTAATATTTAATTACCTAATTTAATACCTATTCTCTTTTCTACAACTTCTGATTGATTTTGTTGACTTTTCACTTATCAAGTATACGGTTGTAGCATACATTTTCATTGAATTTCTAAATACATTAACTCAATTTCTACCATCAGCATTTAAGGGTCATATACCTTCAAAAAGTTTGTAAAAAGGGTATAATATGTACTACATTATAAACCATATTAATTGAGTTCAATTAATAATAATGCATTAGAAAACTATTCAGTATCGTTAACAATTCACTTGTATAATAGTCTTTAATGTCCCATTTTTTCTAACTGAACCTATCCAATATATTATTATTCATAATAATTTGAACTGTGTAGTTTTGAAGATCAACACAAAGTTTGAATAAATAAATATAACAGAAGGCAATAAAAGTTATGTAAAAGATCTAGTTATAATCATGTGTAATGTATACAGTACTCACTGATGTCATCACCATCTGCAGGATAGAAATACTTTGGAATTTATGATATTTAGGTACTACTTAGGTATTTTGGCTCTCATATAGTATGCAGTCTACCGGTGAATTAATGAGTATAGCACGCGGTCTAAAGCAAAAAATTAAATTAGAATTATAATTAAAAATTATATCATATAATATATAATCATTCTACAAAAAAATAAATAATTTAAAAATAAAAAGTACTTATTACTTTTAAATTACTATGTTTATTAATTTCGCCAGAATGATTGTCAAGAATATGGAGTATTGTGCTGTTGTATCTTCAGAAACTGCTCAAAGTACAAAAACTTAACCATCTTTCAAAAAAGAATTAAATAAATACAAATTAATTTTTCCTCCCCACCACACATACTTTTAACTAATTTTAAACGTAATGGTCTCTATAAGAGTTCGATTTGTTGAGTGTGGCTTGTGAAAAAACCAGCCGGCCGCATGTAGATCGGATCCTTAGTAGCCGGTACACCACATACTATATGACAGCCGGTATTTCTATCACGATCTCCATATTATGATTTGTTAATTATTAATACTTAATTAATAACTCAATATTTAAATCAGTCCAAAACAGCTGATATTTAATTTTATATTATTAAAATCAACTGTAGTATCATTTATCATTATCTCTAATCTATGAATATATCAAAAACTAAAAATCAAAGGTAGATTTATAAAAAAACATAACATAAATCATTGCTGATATAAAAACAGCTGATCAACTGATATTGTTTTCATAGTACCCTTTTCAATAAATTCAAAATTGTCTGGAGAAGGAACTGGTAGGATATAAAATATATGTTAAAAAATAAAAATACTTTTATAGATCACAAGAATTTATTTTAATAATAAGCAGAGCAAAATAAAACCTATAATAATTATTTATTTATCAACTAAAAATAATCATAACTAACGCACATATGCACGAAAAACATAAATATGATAATGACATTACTTTGTTAATTTCCCGAAGAAATGAATTTTTTTATGCAAAATAATAACCAATGCACCAATTATATAAAAAGCAACACATCTTCTTATTTACTCATTTACAAAAAAAATTAATATTAAAATTATTATTATTGCTTTTATTACTGCTGTTCATACTAAAATTCATGAGAAATTATTTGGAAACTTCATAAAAATGTTTTTTTTTATAGCTAATGGAACAAAAAAAAAAAAATAATAATATGAGGAAAAAGCTTAAAAGCAAAATTATTTTTGTAACTAACGAGGAACATTAACACACAAAAAAAAAATATATAGATATAATATAAATATTACATGTATACATGTACATTTTGTAAAACACAAAGACTAGTTATCTAGATTTTATTAGCTTATATCTAAAGTAAAATGCTAAAAAAAAATTAATTTTTGTACATTTATCATAATGATCATTTTAAAAATATTAATAATTCCATTTTAAGGTATGATTTGTTTTAAACATTTAAGACTTGATGAAAATTATAAAAAAAAATCTGCTGTAATGTGCTAAACTGTAAGTGGTGTTCAGTTTGGGTAACTGAAATATTTTTCAGAGATCATTTTCATATTTTTGTTTAATATTTTCTAAATTGTTTTCAACTTTAACTATTCCAATGGCTAATCCATCACAATTTCGTTTTGTTACACTGTTTGCCGAGTTATAAATTGATACATTTTCATCAATTTCAGTGAAATTTCGTTTTTTTGTCATTAATTTGCGTGTTACTCTTTCATCTTCTGCAGTTTTCTCTCGACGAAATGGAAATACCATGGGATAAATTTGCTCGATTGCCTGGTAAACATTCCCTACACTTGGAGCAGTTACTGTAATACTGCCTGTTGAAAATATTTTCAATGTAGCTTTTAATTCTTTGATCTTAAAAGTAACACCAGGATGTAACTCGGGTTCATACTGAGCAATTGTTTTATACTTTTCCGAAAACTGTATGACTTTGATCGGAAACGGTAATGAACATGATCCAAGAACATTGACAATCCTATAGCTGCTAAATTTAGCATTGTGATAACCAAGTTTTTGAATGATTCTAGCAAAACGCCTGGATGCAATTTTAGCATGAGTTTCAGATGTAGAACCTGTACAAGCAATTTTCCCACTAGACCAAATAGTGGCTGTGGCGTTTGGCTTGCGTAGTTTCATTGTTAACATCCCATTTTCACGTCTGTATTCTATATTGTTACCATTTAGAGCTAAGTATCGTAAGTTTAAATGTGACTTTAAACTGAAGTTTGTTACTACATTACTAATAGAAATATTTAGTTTAGGATTATCAGTCAAACAGTCTTGAACTGGTTTGTTTGGTAGAGCATTGTTTTCAGACTGCTCATGAAACTCAGACTTGTAGAAGATCATATTGGAATTAGAATTCAATGTAGAAGAAGAAATTGAGTTATTTAAGTCTGTTCCGTTTTTTTGATGAACTATAGAGGTCATCCTTGGAAACTCCTGAGTAATCAAATAATTAAGAGCATTAATTGGTTAACGTGTTGCTTGAATTGTTAATTAGAATTACACTCACGACCAAGTGTTTAGAGTTATACTCTTTAGTTTATCAAAATTAGTGATTGGAGCTAATGATGGTAAGTTTCTATATTGATAATTTAATTGAAAGTTTTTGGTATTTGTTTCACTGTCTGTGCTTCTAGTGTATAAATTCTGTTGATATTTTATTAACCACGAATCCAATGTAGGAATTGAATTAATGTTTTCCACTTGTCTAAAAATTTTTTTTTGGTTTTCTGAAAAAAAATTAAATATTTTATAACAATTATTATTTGTTCAATATAAATTGGGAACATTTATTAACATAAATAAATTATGCAATGGTCACAATTGGTGGCATGGATATTACTTCAATATCTTTCTCGATAAGATGTCCATAAAGGTTTTTTTTATATCTCTGTTTCATTCATAGGACATAGAAAATGCAGTTTAAAAATTTCTTGTATATTAGAAAGTTAGGTTAGAGGTATAACATCTAAAATTAAAATAATATTTCTGAGGGTATTATATCAAAGATTTCTTCTAAACACTATATTTAACATATACTATTTTTAAGTAACTGACTAAAAAAAAGTATTTATCTAAAAACAAGTTAAATTAATATTATGGAATAATATATTTTATATAATAAAGCAAAATACCACAAGATGCTTCAATTGTTTTTAAATTTAATTGTAATGTGCCTATATGTTTTAATCTATAATTTGTAATTCATATAATTACATATAACTGTTGCTATTTTTTACATGTGAAATAGTGATAGCATAATCTTTGTGTGACATCCTCTAAATAAAACAAGGTTACAGGAAATAAATGCCGCTTCCTCAAATACAAAATAATTTTCTAAATTAATGTATTTAGTTTGATTATTAACTAAGTTTTTCATGAACCATATTCATAAAATCGTAAATATTAATTTTGGTTACATAAATTTATTATTTATGACATTTTTCAACTAATTTGGATTAGAATTAAGAATTAGTTTTTTTTGACTTCAGAGAAAGCCATACCCACATGTATAGTCTCCATCTTACAAAGGTAGAACACATCAAAAACTATTTTGAGCAAAATAGAACCACTTAAGCTGTAGTTCAAACTAAGCAACCAAATTTTCATACTAATAAGAGGAGAACATTTACTGTGCAACATCATTTTTATTTTTTTGATATCAGAAATACAAAAAAAATTATTCAAATTTTTTTTTTATTACCTTTTAGTAGATTTCAAGTTTGAAATAATGCATTTTTAAACAATAAAAGCTTTTCTTGTATTCGTGATATTGAAAAAATAAAAACATTGTTGCACAGTAAATTATCTCTTATTTATAGTGTAAAAATTTGGTTGCTTAACTTGGACTACAGCTTGAGTGGTTTTATTTCGCTCAAAACAGTTTTTGCTGTGTAGTACATTTATAAGACGGAGACAACACATGCAGGTGTGAAGTCCTCTAAACAGTTTATTCATAGGAAATACCAGTTATACATACTAAAAATAAATATATAATTTATTACACAATATCAGAAATAAATGGTTTCTGTGCTCAAAGAATGACACTAGCCAGTTAAGAATTGTTATTTGTTTTTGATGTCACTGGGGATAGGCAACCTGAACATTGCTAATGTGATTGTTCATGCAACCCGGCATTAATGTATCAAGTAATTTATATTATTAGACTTAAGAGAGTAAAAGGTAGCAACAGCCAGATAATAATTTTTTATTTATTCATAGTTTTTTAATAAAAATAAATTAAAAATTTGTACATACTTAACAATAGACATTTTCATGTAGATAGATTTCAAGTAAAATATATTTTTATTTAATTAATAAGACCCGAATAAATCCAATGAAGCCTAATTAAATATACATTGGGAACAAAATGTATAAGTCAATATAATAAAATATTATCTATATAATAATATACTATTATAATTGTTACTATATAGTAATTTTTTTGGTAATTTTCAAGGTTAAATTTAAATAGTTCCTACATTAATTTAATATTTATAAATATTTAGTCAAAAACATCAATAATACTAATCTTTACTTATGTTATTGGTTTATTTTGTTTAATATTTTATGATCGGGGATACTAAGTACCAACAATTTAAAGACAAATTATCATATACATAATATTATATTCAATTAAAAGGCAATATTATGTATATATATATATATATATATTTAGGCTAGTATAAAATTGTTTGAAATAAAATGATATACATTATAAACAAATTATGTAGTAAAAATTAATACCACTGAATATAATTTGATAAAGCTTATTAGATAAATGTTTAGTCTCCAAATTAGTCTACTTCATTATAAAGTAACATAATATGTAAATTAATAAATAGATAATAATAAGGGATCTAATATGAATAAGTCGGTACCATGTTCATAAAACGTATTGAATTAGATATTACTATTAACATAAAACTACATTTTTTAATATTACTATATAAGAAACTTTCAAATAAAATACTAACATGCTAGGTTTAATAATACATACATAATATGATAAATAACAGAAATAAATGATGTAGCTATTATTTGAAAAATAACATGAAAACAGAATTATTATTAATTACCTTTTTATTTTATAATACCTTAAGAAAAATAATCAAAATGAATCTATAAAGTTATTTAGTCTGATCATTTCTTTCTAAACTTATTTGTAAAACAATATCAAGATTTTCAATACGTACCGACTCGTATTAAAGTTAGAATCCGATACGGGTCGGTACGCTTGCTTGTATATCGCACACTTAACTTCTTGAATATTTGATATCGATACACTCCACTTTTTACCTTGAAAATATTGATTGTTTTATAGTTAAAATTATTGGTTAGTTACATTTTAATATTATGAAAAGGGGAATCATTGAAATCGTGATTTTTGTGTACCTATCTATATGGTAACCCAAAGTTTCATATATTATGTTTACATCACCCATTTGCTTTAATAAAAGTGTACATACATTAATAATAACACATTATATACACATCAATACATTCACAAACACACATACACACATACATACACATACACACACACACACACACGCACACTTACTCACATACATTCATGTACATAAATATTAGAAAATAAATAAATTTAAATTGTGACTTATATGTGGTTAATAGTTAATGGTTAAAGTAGGCTAATATTTACTTTCATAGTGCCACCCTCTACCTAATAAAATATACATAGATTTTTTATGCAAATATAATTAATAGGCTTCATCCATTGTAATTGTTAACCATGCTTTATCATTTTACAAATATAACATAAGTAAATCAGGGAAAGTATAAAATAAAAATTACCTTGATTGATTAGATCAATTAATTGTTCAAAGGTGTAATGAGAATAATTACAGTTAGAACCGAATTGACACTGTCCAGTAGTTCTAAATCGTCGACACGGTTGTTTTTGACGTTCCTCGAGAAATAATGTTATAGCGTCTGAAATTATACTTTAACATTGACATTGTATACATACATGCACTTTTTAAAAATGTGCGTACCTTTATACAACGAAAAATAATTTCTTCTGTTCTTTTTGTGCGAGTTGCTGTTGAAATGTAGATTACGACTTGATAAGTTGTCTGCAAACGTTATATTACAGTATTCGCATAATATTTTCTTCACCATTTTCAACCGTACGCTAAATACCTATGTATACCAAATTCATAAAACATTATAAATTTTTTTTATAAAAATGTGGACATAAAATGTAACAATAAGCAGTGTCCTGATTTTTTTTTTATTTTAAACTCAAAGGAAAAACATTATCACTGGATCAAAAGACACAAATGAGATAACAACAGTGTCAGCAGGTGACACAACTAAAAATTTCACTGAAATATAATTATATAATTTTTTAGATTCTCCTTGAAAAAATTCAAAATACCACCCAAAATAAATTCAAAAATGTTTCCATAATGAGTAATACATTTTTTAAATAAGTTATTTTTTTTAACTTCATAGTACTCGGACAATCAGAGCAGATAATAAATCAATAAATTATACTGTGGAATACGGAGGAACTGGGTAGAAGGTGAAAAGGCCTTGTTGGTCAGTAAATATAAAAATAAAATAATTCGCCTGGCAGATAACCGCTTTGCTCATCACAAAACAATATGTATTTGTATGTCATGGATGCACCAACAATTGAATTAATATTTCGATACCATATCTATATTCCATATTGTATAAATTATATAATAGTAATATATCATTATGTACGCCTGCAATGGTGCAATTCTAATGAAAAAAGTGGGGGAGCCAATTGTGTATTTGTGTCTATATTATGTATATGTATGCAATATGCCAGATTTTGCACTTACACGACAAATATATTATAATATACTTATTTAAGGAGGTGTGATTTTTAGTATAAAAACATGTCGTACAGGAAAAACTCACGCCCTGGAGAATAGTAGGTTTTTGTTGATTTTTTTTCATTATTTAAAAGGAAATTGCAGGTCGGGTTCAAAGCCCGATTTTCAAAATTTTAACTATAAATTGTATAAAAGCTAAGACATGTATTTGAATAATGCACAAGATTTGTCCTTTTCAAACGTATTCTTCTAATACCTACCTGTCTTAGCTGTGGACAGGTTTTTTGCTATGGCCTCTATGACGATGAAACTTAAGTCCAATATACATGTATCATATGTTCATAATTCAAAAGTAAACATAAGACAAGTCAAACAATTTAGTTTTTATTTTACTCGTGGTACATACTAACAACAAGGCGTATTACCAATAAACTTCAATTTTACTATAGTAACGACATGTTATGCGGAAAATATAGTTTAGGACGTTTATTAGGCGCACAATATCACACAAATTACCAACGAAAATAAAAACGTACTTACAATCAAAATGATAAGTATCATAGCCCTTAATGGCATTCTGAAATTATTAGTCTTTAATCGAATATTAATATTCCATTCAAAGTAGAGGTGTATTATGGAAATAAATTATCCAATTAGCAAGACACCAATTTTCGTAGTCGACATCGATTTTGGGAAAGTAAAATGTATATTATGTTAGTATGAAACAAATATATTCTTTGTAATAATAATTCCAATAATTTCTAATCTTTTTTCAATAATTCGCCATTTCATCGAATACTGATCAATTAAATTTATTAACCAAAAATCATTTATTATTTTCGTTATAAATTATTAGTTAGGTAGTAGGTACCTAGTTTTATCAATATACCTACACTAATGTGTTTTCGGGAAAAAATAAAAATTGCAAGTCTTGCAGTCTTGGTTTTGGACATTGTTTTTCAAGACCGTTCAAAAAATCACGAGATTTAATATAATACAACCCTATATTGGAAATTGAATTCTAATAGACTCAAATTCAGTAAGTACTCAGCATATTTTATCTTGATAAAAAGCAAATAAAATCAAACAAATGCTATTTAAAATTTGATTAGGTATTTTTAGTGATGAAATTTATACATAAATATCATATAATATAAAAATACATTAAATATTTAATATTGGCATAAGCAATGTATTCTGTAAATTGTATTTGTTTTAATATTCAATTGTTTCTATGAATTTTCATACTTTGATGATTGATATATGAATACATAAGGTATCATAGACAAGTTTTTTATTTAGGAAAATTTTATCTTAGGCAATTAAGAGAACATACAAATGTAATTTTTAATCATTTAACTTTTAATGCTTACTAATTCCTTTTTGTTGGTAACAAAAACAATTATATCATAATAAACATTTTGTATTGTAACTACCCCACTGTGCAGTGTGCATGCATTATATTTTTGATGAAATATTATACTATGTTTATTTAATCAATGGTTATGTATTGTCCAACTATATTAGTAAATTGAGTTTTACTTTTCTTACTTTTGTAAAGTTAAAGGTATTACTAAACATAGGCACAAAAAAAAAATACCAATAATGATTTAATTGAATACAATTATCCATGTTTATTAGTCAAAATACAGAACATTAACAAACAAATCAATATTATGGTGTACTATTCTGTTTTATAAAACGGACAAAATAATATTCATATAACATGTGTATATTTTTTTTAATTTATTCAAAATACTTTTAAAAATATGTTTTGGAAAGAAATTGAAATCATTTGAAAAATTTAAGTATAACGTAAATGAATTAACGTCTTTCTGTTTTACCAATGCCTCTTTTACCAGCGAACAAGTGTTTAGGTCGTTTAGTTCCAATGAATCTATCAGCTTCACCTTTGAGACCTTGCTTCTTAACTTTCTTCGCAATTGCTTTATGCGCCACTTGTTTAAGTTTCAATTGCATCTAATAAATTGAATAAATAATTTGAGTATTCATATTTATTTAGTAAGTTATTCATATACATTAAAAAAATAGAGACACATACCGAAGAGTCACGAACACCAGATTGATTTCTTGGTACTCTACTCTGACTTCTTGATGTAGATACTGAGCGATGCATAGATCCCAAACGTGGTTTTTTGGCATTTGTTCGTGACTGGGACCTTGTTAAAGAACGAGCTCGACCACGAGTTTTGGTGAAATGTGCCTAAAAATCAAAAAAAAATACTTGAGTTAGAGTAAGGACATTTAAAATAATAATATTACTTCATCAGTGCCCTCCATGTCAACACCAAGATCTTCCATACGGCTTCTGAAGTCTGTAGCACTGCGACCACGGGCTCGAGCTGGAGCAGTTCTAGGTGTTGTAGGTTTACTAGATTGACGAGATATTCTACTTTCGTTACGGTTAATAATCTTCCGATCTCTGATCTTTTGAGCCAGTTCTTTAATTTCTCGCAATGTTTCATCAATTTCAATTTTAGGTACAGCATAGTATCCAGCTTCTTCTCTAAGTGCTTCTTCTTTTTCAAGTTCTTCAACTTTCTACATTTATAATAGTAAAAACTTTTGGTTAGGTCATCATTTTTGGATAACATTAGAAAAGTTAAACAGATATTTTAAGTTATTACCTGCAATAATTCTGCATGAATGAAATCAGCAATGTTTCTTCCATTCCAAAATTCTGGTATCACGTCATATTTATACTCATCAGGTAGATCATAACTTTTTTTAAGGTCCAAAATATAATCATCTCCAAGCTCATCTTCCAAATTTTTCTCAAGCTTCTTCTTAAATTCTTGAAGCTCAGCCAATCTTTGTTTTTGTAATACCATTTCTAATGCAATAAATAAAATAATAGGTTATCGAAAAATTAAAAACTAAATTAATAAGATATAACAATTATACCTGGTATACAAGCAGGTCGCTCTTTTTCATCCCGAGTCTTAGGCAGTGCTACATGTAAACGGTTCAAAATCGAATCAACTTTCTTTGCTTGGATTTTGTTTTCAATACGATAAGCTAAGAGAGTATCGCACGCCTAACAATAAAACCAAAATTATAAACATAAAATAGTAAGAATAAAATAAATAATATCAAAATTACTTGTTGTTTGACTTCCATAACACCTTCATCGGTCACGGCAGACATTGACAACAATGGGACATTATTTTTCTCAAAAATACTTAATGCTTCACGACCAGCCTCACTTATCTGATCCATAGGTGTAACATCAACTTTGTTACATACTACTAATAATGGCTATAACAATAGTAAACAAGGTATAATAGTATAACACTATATGTAAGGTATTTTAAGAAATATGAATAAAATTAAATCAGCAGAAACCACTTAAGAAAATATATGAAGATAACTGATTGCCTTTAATAAGTTTATATTTTAGCCTTTTACCTTGTATGAAATATAAAAATATGAAATTTAGATCACTTAGGGTAAAAATATTCAGCTTAGAATCAATTTAAAGAATAAATATTTGTGAAACTCACCTTGTTGGTAAATAATGGTTTTATAGACTCGTAAAGCTTAACTTGTTCAGCAATTGAGTGACCACATTGTTCAGAAACATCTATGAAATAGAGAATAGCAGCTCTCAAATGGGCCAACGCAGTAACTGCCTGCATTTCAATAACATTTCTCTCTTCCAAAGGATGGTCTAATACTCCAGGGGTATCCACCACTTGCCAACGTAAATATTTGTAATCTGTGTGTCCAACATACAAACTTTTTGTAGTAAATGCATATGAATGGACTTCTACATCAGCTCTAGTAATCTATATAAATATATAAAATCAAATTAAATGATTAGTTACTATATTATAAATATAAAATTATTCACCTTATTTAAGAAACTAGATTTTCCAACATTAGGAAAACCACATAATATTAATGTTCTAGTGTATGGATCAATTGATGGCAAACGTGATAAATGTTGCCGAACTTGTTCCAAATAAACCAAATTTGGAGCTTGCCTTTTCATAATTGTAGCCATCCTACATTATTTAAAAAAATATATTCAGTAAAATCAAATTAAATAGTATTTCAGTAAGTAGATTAGAATAATTTACCGTCCAAGAGCTGCTTTCTTCAGCATTTTACAGCGATATAATGAATCACCAAATTTCATGAGACGAACATAATCTTTACCAACACTATGAGCAAAATATATATTTTTAAATTGCATGCCAACAGAGCTAAAATTATAAAATGTAATTACTTGTCAATAAGATGTCTTGCTTGATTAAGTTGTCCAAGAGCAAGTTTGTAATGGTCCTTATCGTAAAGTATATTCATTAAATCAGCATAAAATGGATGAATATTCTGCAGGAAATTTCCAAATTGATTAATCACATAATACATAAAAAGTTATTATAATTCAAAGATTACATACGTCTAATTTAGGAAATTCCTGAATGATCATAGACAGGCGTTCATTGAAATTCTGTTGAGTATATCGTACTTTACGTGTATAAAAAGAACGTATTCTTGATATCTTATAATGTTTATGCACAACAGTTGGAGTCTTTCGTTGGGTTTTTGATAACATAATGTTAACAAAATCCTAAAACAGAAAAAAACAATTAGGATTAAATTAGTTACTATATTATAACATGAGAAATTAATATTATTATGCTACATGTAAATTTATAAAATATATAACATTCTCTTACCTTTGCAGTAGGTACGACCGTGATCTTTTTGAAGTTGTATAAAACCATGTTGTCTGATTGATTAATTTAAATTATAGTAAATAAAAATATACTATTAAAAGTATGTGATTGAAAAAAATATCTAGTTATGTTTTATTTTCACAACGCACTGACGCAATAAACGTCTGCGTCTCAATGTTCAAAGAAGGAAAAGAAATTATTATCATAACCTTACTTGACACACAACACGTTTTTTTATTACGGTTTAGCCAACCCTTGCATATTTATTATCTTTATTAATCAATTTTCTTTTTCATAAAACCACAAATAAAATAAATAATTCTCATTGAACAACTTTTTATGAGGAACTTTATTAAAGGTTGTATTGTATGTTCCCAATTCCCGATTTATATTATTGTAGAATATATTTTTTTATAATTAAATGGTTAAAATTAAATGGTTCAATAATTTCAACGCAATTCTCTTTCAGTTTAATATGCCTGCAGAGCATAGATAATAATGAGTGATAACATGAATGTTTATTCATTCCATGCTTGGGATAGAGTGGTATTCCGTATCACTACCGTCCTGTATGGTTCACAGCTCATACCGGCCGAACAAACTTGATACATTTTAGTTGGACCAATCGCAGGCAAGACGTTAAAGCATTGTAAACACTAATAAGTACGAAAACAAAACTACAAACTATAAAAGTATAAACGTCGTTTCCTAGTTTCGACTTTCGTTTTCGTACCGTTGGCCAAGTAAATTGGCAATTCCTATTATTTAATTACAATAGAGTCAATCTTCCAACATGTCGAAAGCACATCCACCGGAGCTCAAAAGGTAAATCGTAGAAGTCACCGACTTGTTGTTTAAAAATTGTCCATGGCATATTATTGTCGTGTTTAATTCACTTTTCAGTCATAATTGCACACGATGGCATAAATTAATTCATGTTTTGCACAATTACTACAAACTTATGCTAAAATGCACTTTACTGACACTCTTACAATTTTCATTTTTTTTTTTTTGAAACTACCTCTTTTATGGTTAAAACCCTGGTGTAAAAATAATTTTCCTGAAACTTATTTTAGAAGTCATGAGCTTTAACCGTTTCAAATTGGTTATATCACAGTATAAAGAATAAGAAGTATGCTCAATGACAAGACTGCTCATATTTTTTTAAGGTGCAATGTATTATTAATATAATATATGCAACTTAAGATCATATACAATGGATAGAATTACTGGCCTAAATATTTGAAGCCAACATAACTAAGGGTAATTGGGGCAAATGAACACAAGGTGGTGTCTCATGTATTCATTTAATCTTATTCTGTGTAGTATGCACAAAACACAAGGCAATGCACATGTGCAAATAAGACAAAAATATGGTTCATGTATAGCATACTTCTTATACTTTGGGTTATAATATTATGGTGAAAACTAAAATAGTATGTATTGCAAGCTTATTACATCACACTACAGCCTGACTTATGAATCACATCATTTTAAAGGTGAAATTTAGTTGAGCTATTAGAGTATTAGCCCTATTACAATGTATGTTTCATATTTATGTTAACAAATTAAAACTTATCTCTATATTATTAAAATGTATTGTTTATTGTTTATGGATATTATATTTGGTATAAATGTAGTTTAGCTACCACACATTTTTATGTGTCTTTTAAAAAAATGCATTTTGATATGAGAACGATTCTGCAGATCATTAAGATATATATATATCATTCAGAAGTTTGCGATTTTACGTTTCTACACATTTGTACAACGCTTTACTTTACTGTCACGACTTTAACAAAATTTGATTTTTTTTTAAACTCTCATACCTATTAATAAAAATTTTAAACACAAACTAAATACTTGTGCATATTTTTTTTTTCAGATACTTGGATAAAAAGTTATCATGTAAGTAAATGTTCCTCTATTCTTACTAAAATTGTAATAAAATTCAATATTTTTTAATAATGTAACTAATTTTTATTGTAGTAAAATTAAATGCTAACCGTCAGGTAGCAGGCGTACTACGTGGCTTTGATCCATTTATGAATCTCGTATTGGATGAAACCGTAGAAAAAATCAAAGATGGTGTTGTGAATAGTATTGGGATGGTGGTATGTTATTCTTTTCTTATAATACAAATTAAATAAATATGCATACTTATATAAACTAATTATTTGCAGGTTATAAGAGGAGATAGTGTTTTGACTATAGAAGCATTGGATAGGATTGATCAACATTAAAGATGTATTTTTCTGTTTTTCTTATATAATACATGAATTTATATTTAAGATTTTATGAGTTTGTACATATTAAATAGGTAAAAAAAAACTTTCCTTTCTTATAAAATTACTATATCCAAGTTGCCCTAACATCGGTTCACATATTAAAATGATTACTGATTAATATACAAAAATTAATATATTTTAAAATTAGTTAATTATGTGATAAAAAGTCTTATTCATATAATAGTTATTTAGAAACTGTTTAAATAACATAATAAACTTCAATATTTTTTTCAGGTAACATAGTTTGCACTTCATTTCTTTTTTTAGTAGCATTTTCTAATGAATCTTTGCTTAAATTACATGATATATTAGTAATTTGTTTTTCCAAGTTTTCTAATAAATCACTGTTATTACATTCATCAATTTTTTGTAATGTGCCCATCATCAATTTGTTCAATCTTGTTTTTATGCTTTTAAGGTTTTCTGCTTTCATATTAATTGGTTTACATATGTTGTATAATTTAACATTTTCAATAGGTATTGTAAGAGGGGGTCCTCTGCATTTTTGGGTATACTTTGTATGATCTTGGTTTCCAAATAAACATTCTTCTATATGATCTTCATTTTGATAAGTCTCTGAATTTGCTTGATATATTACAGTTAAATGAATATGTTCACAAATAACTGTTTTTGAGATGAAGTCTGAGCATGTACAAGAGTATGCATGATAACAAATATTACAAGGGATACAATAAGATTTACAATTATCACTAGAACATGATATTACGTCATTTTTAGTGACATTATAAACTCCTTGATTACAATTATTTGAAGAAAAAGTTGAAACTAAACGATTTCCCATAGAAATTCTCCAAACATTTTCAAGAATTGGACTCACAAAAGATAATGAAAGTTGAGAAGCAGTCAAATGTCTTTTGTTAGTCTCTGTCGTATTTGATAACGAGTCTATAATGGGAGTTTCAACTGCTTTGTGAACAAGTTCATATTTTGATTTATTTTTTGATGGTTGCACTTTTGGAAATATAATATTAACATTATGCTTTTTTGAAATGTTTAAAATATCTCTTCTTTTAATTAAATGCTTTCGTTCAGTTTGCTTAGATAATTCATCTTCTTTATATGATGACAATATATCTTCAATATTGACACCTTGTAATAATTTGGAAGCTATTTCTTGTTTATCAGTCTTAGGGATTCTTAAATGTACAAGTTCGGCTTCATGCCCATAATGTGTATGGTGTATAACAGCTTGAACAGTGTCATCAATTTCATTTATAGATAGAATTATTGAAGATGTACAATTATTATTAATTTTAAGAAGTCCTTGAGATTTTAACTTACGCCTGCGACTTTGTATTGAACTCTGGTAACTACCTGAACGGTTGCAATACCAATATTCTACTCTGCGTCCACTACGTGTTAAATTTTTACGATGATAAAAGCAACTGCGAGTTCCTGATTCATAATTAACTTTCCATTTTAAAAAGTCTGAAAATAAAACAGTATTAAATTAATAACGATTTAACTCATAACTAAATATTATTTAATATATTCCTCTCATTTTATTATATAAGTAAATAAAATTCATCTCCATTTTTTGCGGTAAATACTCGAAATGTATCAGTTTATTTAAATATGATGCAGCCCATGCCATGTATAAAATTTGACGGATTTGTGAGCAGTTCAACAGTATTCCTGAATGGTGGCTCATACTATTACTGATTTGCATAACTATGAAAAGAAATTACTGAGCTGTCATAACTTGTCCAGTTTTCGAGGTAGACATTTGAAACTCTGTTTATTTAAACACGGTACAACCTATGCCAGATAAAGAATTTCATAACTTTTATTAAGGTTTGTGATATTTCCACAAAAACTAAATTAGATGTAAAATTTGCGTCAAACATGATGTGGAAATTTGGAACATGGTAGGGAGTTAAATGGATGTATTATAAATTATAATGTGACTTGTAGTTGTTGAGTTTCAGCCCTTCTGGACTTTGCCCACACTATGGCTGCTATGGCCACAGTTCAGTAAATCAGACCAATATTATAATATCTAATAAGCTTCTTCAACTAATACAATATTTTGCATTTATTATATCTGTGACTTGTAGAAAAAAAAAATTAAACATTTAGGCCATTTAATACTAGTAAGTAAATAATTATATATCTAATTCAGTTTTAAATATAAAATACTACTAAAATATCCATATAATTACCAGAATATGTATTAAACTTCTTTTCCTCTACATCAAATTGTATTTGGTGTTTTTCATTTAAATGTTGTCGTAAGTCTTTTATGTATTTGAATGTCATTAGACATCCAGGTTCGTTGCATTTAGTTTTGCCAGGTACAGCTTGTGGTTCAGGACGTAGATGACACTTTTTTATGTGTCTGTAATAACCGCCTTTAGATAGAAAATGTTTTTCACACCCACAGTAGAATCGATCAACTGACGGAACTCTTCCAATGTTTTCAGTATCATTAACATAAATGAGTTCACAATTAGAAATTGCAAACTCCAACAAATCATTTTTGGCAGGATTTTGGGCATATTCACAAAGGCTGATATGTTTGCGTACTTGACGTTTTTGGCTATAAGATTTAGCACAAACACAAAGATATAGGGAATTATTATATTTTCTTTTTGACATTTCAAATTTAAATATTATAACTTCAGTGATACATCTAATTTAATTGTTGAACTGTAATAGTTAAGTACTGAAAGCTATATAAATAAAAAAAACTCTAGTAGTATATTGTAAAAGCAAACTTCGATATTGAAATTAGAAAAGTTTATATATCTTAATTCACTTTCATGATAAATTTTAATAATGATAATTATTAAGTTATTACCTTTGTTCGTATAATTGTTAATTTGTACTTTTTACTTAAGAAAAAATTATTCAAGCATTTAATAGATAAAATCTAAAGAGCGAACCACTCTTATCATTTAATCTTAGCCGTTTTCCTATAACCTTATTTGTATTTATTTCAATACATATTTTGTGGGAACCAAGTTATTACCATAATTACTACTATACACGTAAATTGTAAGGTACAATTTTACACCTAAGTACACTTATTTTTAATTTATGTTTTGTTTTTTGGGATTGTTACTCCATAAAAAACTAAAAATGGGTATTAAAATGCAACACTGCCGTAAAATAATTTGATTGTAAATAGTAAGATAAGAGATAAGTGATAAGAAATAACTTAATTGAAGTAACACGATTACTCGACGTGCCTCGTGCTCGCGTTGTAGTTACTGTTGGAGCCTTGGAGGTAGTTAATGCTTAATAATAACCAGCGTAGAAAACCGATTAATTAGTAATTGACCAGCAAGAAGATCAAAAAATCATATAGAAATAAAAAACAGTAAGTAATATTTTAAAAGAATATAATTTAGATATTATAGATGAATAATTTTACCTCCCAGATTTTGGAAATATTACGTACAAATTTGACCAATACACAGACACACAATCATAAGACATTTTATAATACATAACCTTTTTATTTTGCTTTCTGCTCTAAAAATTAATGTTGATAAGTAATGATAACCTTCCCTTTCCTGTGAAAATCATTAGTGTAGATGTTTTTTCTTCAAATATTTGATCTCAGCAAGGACTTGTATGGACACTTTTATGTTGATTTATTGATTTTGGGTATTAATTAAGGTTACCCGGCCATAATTCTTTTTCAAAATGTACTGTTTAATTTTATTCTCCTATCATATCAGCTTTAATCGGGTTAAGTATCTCTTCTCATCCAAATCCCAATCTTCTGGTGTAGATAAATATATTCTCTTTCCCAAGACTTCTTCAACTTTTCTTCTTTCTGAGCTGTTCTAGTTAGGATTTAAGCAATCAACTAATATCTGTATTTTTTAACTTTAATAAAAGTTTTTTATACAATTTACCTAGGCACCCAACTAGCCTTATACATTTGAACAAAACAAAAATTTAACTACAAGTCTATATCAAACAATTAATTTTTACCGAACTGATCTCATCCATTTACTGTAAAGCACAGATAACAGATAAGTAAATTCTGGATTCTTATGGAGACCTTTGTCAAACTAATTTAATTCAAAACATTTTTGTAATTTTATTAGTGGAGAATAAAACTGAATCACACCAAGTCAATTCATACCACCTTCACCTTGAAACATGGTCTCTGTCCTCCAGTTTCATTGGATAACATTTCTATACCCACTTCCGATACAGTAAAATATTTATAGGCCTTATCTTAGACAAAAAATTGACCTGGAATCCACACATCAGATCCAAAAGATTAATTTTAAACTCTCGTTCTCATATGCTCAAAACTTAGCTATCAAAAAATAAATGCACTAGCTTAAAAAATAAACTGCTAATTTACAAAACATTTTTAAAACCGATCTGGACTTACGGTCTTCAGCTCTGGGGTGCGGCAAAAAAATTGAATCTAAACAAAATCCAATTTTATCAGAATATCACTCTACATCAACTCACTAACGCTCCAGCATACATTTCAAATTTAACACTTCACAACGATCTATATGTTAAATCAATCGAAGAGGAATCTGTATTGTATTACAAGCGATTCTTCTCACGTCTGGCAAACCATTACAACCTTCTAATCAGTAACTTAAATATCTTAATAATTTCTGATAATCCTCGTCGTCAACTGAAAAGGAGATGGTGTAGAGATCTTTTACAATAATCCAATCAAATTCTTCCTCTCTCCGAGAAAAAAAAAATATATGAAAATATTATTACCTTATCTTCCCAAATTTCCATCACGCAAAGAGTCAAGTTTTGAATTTATTAATTGCAATAAATTTAGGTTCACATATTACCTAGGTTTGATATGTACATATATATGTATACCTTGAGGTATAATGTTAATTATACCTCCTTAATTACACATTTGATTTATTGAATACTAATTCAATATATTTTTTTAAATTTTTTGTAGGTAAAAATGGCTAAAACAAGCTCCGCTACTAAGGCGCCTAGAACTCAAGGGTTCAATAGGTCAGCCCATAGTATGAATCCTGAACGTAAAACTGAAAATCTCAAAGGTGTAGCAAAGGTGAGAACTAAAGCTACCATTAAAAGATTGCAAATGTATAGAAACTTTAAAGCCAAACGTGATAGGAAAGGTAAAATCATTCATGCAGCACCATTTCAAGGTTGGTTACCATGTGGTGCTCAGGCTCGTGTAGAACCTAATCGCAAATGGTTTGACAATACTAGGGTCATTGGGCAAAATGCTTTACAAAAATTTCAAGAAGAATTAGGGAAAGCAGTTAAAAACCCTTATGATATCATTATGAAACCAACTGGATTGCCAATTACCCTATTAAATGAAAAAAAAAAACATGAACGCGTACATATTCTTGAAACTGAAAGTTTTGAAAGTGTCTTTGGTTCCAAAAAAACTCGCAAGCGTCCAAATCTATTTGTTAGGGATGAACAACAATTATCGGAAACGGTAAACTCTATCAATGAATCATATTCAGATGACAAAGATTTGGACTTGGAAAGAGAGGATACAGGAGAAAGAACTGCTCCTCGGGATTGGATAATGGCTGCTGGTCAAAGTAGACGTATTTGGCAAGAATTGTATAAAGTAATTGACTCATCAGATGTTGTTGTAATGGTTTTGGACGTAAGGGATCCTACAGGAACACGCTGTCCTCATATTGAAAATTTTTTAAAAAGAGAAAAACCTCATAAGCATTTAATATTTGTATTAAACAAAGTTGATCTTGTACCTGTTTGGGTTACTCAGAGATGGGTTGCTATTCTTAGTTCTGAATATCCAACCGTAGCATTTCATGCTTCACTTACTCATCCATTCGGAAAAGGTGCTGTGATTAATTTAATGCGACAGTTCACAAAATTACATTCTGAACGTAAACAAATCAGTGTTGGTTTCATTGGATATCCAAATGTCGGTAAAAGTTCAGTAATCAATGCTTTGCGATCTAAAAAAGTTTGTAAAGTAGCTCCTATTGCTGGTGAAACTAAAGTATGGCAGTACATAACATTGATGAAAAGGATATTTCTCATAGATTGCCCAGGAGTAGTGTACGATGCCGCTAATTTAGAAACAGATACAGAAAAAGTATTAAAGGGTGTTGTTAGAGTTGAGCTTGTGCCAGATCCAGAACAATATATACCACCTTTAATGGAACGAGTAAAAACTGAGCATATGTCTAAAACTTATGGAATAGAAAGTTGGGAGGATCATGAAGATTTCTTATCGCAGTTAGGTATGAAAACTGGTAAATTATTAAAAGGTGGTGATGCTGACCTAGCATTATGTGCTAGAATGGTATTAAATGATTGGCAAAGAGGAAAAATTCCCTATTATAAACCACCACCTGGTTTTGAAGAACCTCTATCAGCTAGTGATCAAGAACCAATAACCAAGCGAGCAGACTTAAATGTTGCGGTAGAAAATGATTCTGATGATGAAACTGTAAATACTCCCTTACCCACAAATGAAGATGAAAATGCTACTTCAACTGATAGTGATGAAGAAGAAGAGAGAAAGAAAGAAAAAGAAGAAAAATTGCAAGAAGCACATGAGGCTTATATCAGCAGTCTGACAAGCAAACAAAAAAGGAGCTTGATGTTACGAAATAAAAAGAAAAAAGTTGGGAGTGATTTTTATGATGTTACTAATGTTAAAAATCGTAATAGAGATCGTAAAACACCAAAAACAAAATAAAATGAACTCTTGTTTAAAATATATGTTTTTCATACTAAGAAGTTGTGTTATATTTTTCATTTCAATTTAATATATATAAAAAGAGGTTCCATTTATTACAATCATGTTGATGCAAAGGGTTCTTAAAATATATTTTTGAAGAAATAACTAATAGGTATTCAAGTTATGTTCAGTATTTAATATGTAATTCAACAGGATTAACTTTTGCTGAAAAAAATTTGTTTGTTCTAAGAAAAAATTATCTAGAAATTATTTCATAAAATTGAGTTTAATTAAATTAAAGACTATTAGTCATAAACCTTCAATCACTTTTTTACTCCATAAGTGTAACTAATTAGTTACAAATAAATAGAAATAATTTAAAAACAAAAGATTACTACAATGTTTGCTGGGATTAAAAATAAAAGAAATGTATATTTAAAAAATAATTGTAAATACAAAATATTATATTATTTACAAAACAAAATTAATATCAAAATTTAATAATGAAAACTCATTAATTTTGCTATATAAATGAATATGCAACTAATAGTTGCCGTTCTTTACACTTAAGACATCCAACACACATTTTAATTTTCACTCAGGAATGTTCAATAATAGTTATAAATAGTTAATTCTTACATTTAATTATTATTTAAGAATTTAGGTATAATACATATCAAATACATAACTGTTTAAATACACTTAACATTAAAATAACCCTGTTTTACGAGGTAAAAAACTGTTACAACTAAATGATTCACATAAGCATCTAACTTCGGACAAATTATTTTGAGGGTGAGATCCTTCACCTCCGTAATGATATGTAATTTCTTCTTTACACTGAATATCTTTTATTGCAAAAATTGCTAGCCTTGGAATTAACGAATCGACCCGCACCGGCACTATCATACAGTTGGGTTCGCAGCTATGGTTAATATATCGACCAATATTTCCAATAATGGTAGAATCAATTACAGTTGTAGTTACATCTCCAGAAAAGTGTTCGTTAATCACAAATATATAATTTTCGTGATCTAAATTTGAACGTCTCTGTGCTTCAGTTAAATCAATTATTTCACCAGCATATTCACAAACAAATTGTCCTCTTTCAATAGTAACATCGGTATATAATCCATAGCCTTTGCTGCACTGAGAAATTCGCAAGCCAATTCTTGGTCCAAGTTGAACAACTCGATTTTGACACAAAGTACACTTACATAAATCATTACACTCATAAATAACCCTATTAATTGAAATTAGTTTACCAAAATTGTCATAATTATTATAGCCGGCTAAACCAATGCATTCACAACTTGATGTTTGACACAAATCAGTGCAGTTACACATTTGATTGGGACAACTGTTTAAATCATTCATATTACAACCAGGTCCTGGAATGTTTGTTGAAGAATATATAAGTGAATCATCAATATGATCATAATTATCTTCGCTTTGATTATTATTAAACATTATTAGAATAGCTGTATTTGAAATGTATTATTGATAACTGAAACAAAAATAAAAGTGTACCATAAATGTATTTAAAAATAATAGTACATAGTATAAGTATACACCAAATTACAAAAAAGGAAACACTTAAGATCAACAATGTTCAATAGTGTAGAACAGTGTTATTTTAGATTCTATACATTAATGGTTTTTGATCTATGGAGTAGAATGTCAAAACCTAAGCTAACATTGACCAAGGGTGTTTGTTTAATTTAATTAATCAAGAAATCAAGAAAAAAACTATTTTTTTATTAGCTTACTATTTAGTGATAAAGTGATATCTTAACTATTAGTATTTTAATATTTTGAACTACTATGAAATAGTTAAAAAGCACAAACAATACTTACACTGTTATACATACATATAATCTGTCTCAAATAAGATTTAACTCAGGTGGTAAACTAGAAACCAATTTTCATCCGATTCGGTCAGACCACACCCAATTGGTTTTTGTTTTTGACAATCAACAATCAAAAAATGTCTTTACCATGGTAATTTAAGCAAAATTCAAGCTGGACGGTTGTGAGAATAATAAAATGAATGAAGCTCTGGTGGGCGGGGTAATCAACGTACGTATATGTTACGTATGTAAGCCACCCATCACCGTTGCTATGCTCAAAAGCTTGCAGCCTGAGATTATTCTTATTTGAGACAGAGTATAATTTTCTGAATGTATTAAATTTCAATTCACATAAAAGAAATGCACAGATTGGTCTTAAATTTGTGAATGAATTTTAGCAATAATGTTTGCTTTAACATGAACAATGTTAGTCACCTAACCATCAGAATTTGTCAAAATTAGATGAATTCTTTTATCCCATTTCAACATTACACATACTTAGGATTGTCTAAATTTAGTTGACCCAGTAAATTAGTAAAAAAATTAGTTAAATAAAATCTTACAAAATTAATTCCTATACATACCATAAAATATAATATACAATGGAATATTGATTTTTATAGTTTATTGTAACTTAATAAACATCCCTTGAACATATGTAATTGAATCAGAAGTAACTCCATAAGCCATTTTTGATAGTGATCTTACACCAGGGATCTTTGAAACACCCCACAAAAGTAAACCACAGGCAGAAACTTTGATCACAACTTTAATAACTTTGCTACTTCTTGATTGAGGTGGAATTCTAAACAAAAATATATATCAACATTTTAGATTTTAGACTAAAATATTTTTCTTATATTTAATAATTGTATACAATATAAGACCAGATGCTTTTATTTAATCTTAGTAGTATAGTAAAATTTGTTTAGGCTTGTATGTACACAAATTCATTAAAAATATGTAATAAAATCAACTTATAACTTACATAATTAATTCTGCAATTTGCTCATCAGCAATTTTTTCCCAATATTTTTTAATACCAGCAACGTGACCTAATCCAACTACGCCAACAATAACTTGAGGTCCTATTTTAAATTATATTTACTCTTATTATTACTAAAAGATTTATAAATAAATAAAAATTAATATTGCATTTATTCTATAACTAACTTGAATTAAATATTTTAGGCTTGTTGCCAGTTTTCTCTACTACAAATCCAGCACAATTTTGTAAACTATAAGTTAAGAATTTATCTCTTTCGTCAACTATTACTCTCTCCAACTCTGGATAGTCAGCAGCCATTTCATGCATTAAAGTTTCTAGTAAGTCTTTGTTTTTGAATTTTTCTACATCTTCTTTTCTAATTATAATAAATATTTTAATGTTTTTAATTTATGTTTGATAAAAAATAAGTATGAAAACTTACGTAATTTTAAAATCTGCGGTAAACAACAGGTGTGCCAAAAGTTTAATGCTTTTCGGCCAGCTCAACATTGAAATCACTCTTTTTATAGTGATATCAACTGGTCTGTCACCTAGATAAATGTGGCTGTTATATTTCTTAGCCTAAATATTAATAAAAAAATAAAATATAGATGGATACATGTAAATCATAATAGGGAAAAATTGCGACAAATTCATACTTCAATGACAGCTCTACGAAATTCACCACCTGGTATCATGCCAAGATCACGAGATATATTGGCAGATATATTTATCATCAGTTGATAAAATATACCTTGTGTAAGGCCTAGTTTTTTTATTGACCTTCTCAAATCTTCTATAAAAATCAAATTATAACTGTCATCAGTATTATTTATGTATCAAGTTTGTTTATATTGAAGGGTGGATAGGATACACTAATATAATTGTATAGAATGATAACTAATATAGGTATCATATATTTACTTGTTATTATAAACAAATAATTTTGGATTATGTGACTTTAGCAATGTAATTATTCACTATTTTATCAATACATTGATTTTGTTCAATTAACTAAATATTATGTATGCCTAATCTGGACCTTCTTCCTAAAATTAGTATTAGTAGGGTTATTTACAAAATATTTACATAAATAAGTAAATTTTTTGGCACTTTTTTTATTGTGTGTAGACTAATTCCTGATTTATTTTAAATATTTTTATGATTGCCAATGAATTACTCATTTTTAATGCTTCAATGAATTGAGACTTGCTTTATTAAAATACCTCATAATCTGATGAGGATAGAATCTATTTCTATTTACTAAATATTAATAAGACAAATATAAACAATTACATCATAGTTTAAATTTATGCAAAAAATGTTTTTAAGTATTTTATTCTAGGGCCCCTAAGTTTCTCTCTGTGTCTCTTCCTCAGTGTTAGGTAGTTACTTAGTTTTTAAGGCGTTAAGAAATTTAATTATACCTATTTGTTAAAAAATAATAATGCTCTAAAATATGTCTAATGAAGGCATTAAGTATATTAGTATAGTATACTATGTATAAATTTAATTTTAATTCCACAATTTTATTTTTAATGGTTATGACTGTCATTAACCCATTTTTAAGGAACTGTTTATTTTTTAAATTATTGAATTATTGTTTGTACGTAATGTTATTTATAAACAATTATTATGATTTTAATTTCATATCATATTTAATAATACAAATGAGAGTTTTTATCAAGGTTATTATTGTATAGGTATTTGGTGTTAGTCCATCAGCCATATCGTATATTGATATTTAAAATATTACCTGATATATATCTAGTTAAGTTGCTTGTAGAATGACAATTGCCAAGAAATTAATAAAATACCAAGGATTTTTTTTTTTGTAATGTTTTAGTAACATAGACATTTAGTTACTTTTCAATTTGAAAAGTAAAGTAATTTCATAACAATTGTATTTAAGCAATGAGTGAAGTAACTAATACAACACTGGACTCAAATGTCTACTTTATATTAAAACATAAGGCTGTCAAAAAGTCAAACTTTTGACTCAATATCAGGTTATTTTTAGTAATGTAGCATTTAAGTAAAAATGAATCAATAATATAAATACCCAATGTAATGCCTGAAGCATTGGCAATAGTGGATTCATCAATTGTTAATATGCTATTCCTGTTATAGCACAATTCTATAACAACAACATCTGGTTTGACTGCATTTATAACCTGTTGCATAAAAAAAAAAAAATACAAATTAATATTATATTGTATTTTGTATTTTATATCATAATATACTTGGGCGACATCTTCTTGGCTCTCTTCACTAAAATGAGCAGTACCAACAAGATAAACTACAGAACCATTTGATGATTTTAATACTGTGACAGTGTCTGGAAAATTAACTTGATTGTCTACCATCTCAATTGTTGTTAGTAACTCGACTAAATATAAAAATTTAAATAATTCAAATTAAATCTAATTGTTAATTTTGAAATGAAGAAAAAAAATAATATTACAATAGTCGAAATCCTTACGATATAGTCAACAAGCCACAAGGTAATTTCCTAAAATTACTAATTAGTATAATCTCCTTCTAAGTTTTTAGTGGTTGAACGAGAAGTAGGTAGGTTTTCTATGGCTACTACTTACAAGATTGTTTTTATTTTCAAATACCTAAAAAATTTTTTGAATAATATTATGAATATATAATCAGATATCACACGACACGTAATCAATGGTCAAAATAGATTAAACCACAGGACAATGCAACCAAGGTGGATTCATAAATGATGTATAACCATAGAACACTAGGTATTATCTATGTTTATGCAACAACAACTACAACTGTCCCCGGAATTTTTTAATCTTCTAAGACCGAGCTACCAACCGTAAATTTGTAGTGTAATGAATCGTCAGAAAGTCACTCGGACAATTTAATTAACACGGCTACAGATATTAGTAATTAATAACCACGCGACCTAACATCGCCCGATAACGACAAAAGGTTATTCGACCACACAGATATCACATATATATACATAATAGTACAATATATTCTGTGCCAAACACCAGCTCCATCATCGTAATCCGAAAAAATGCAATCATACCACACTACCAACCGTATTAATATTACCGAATTTAAATCGACAAAAAGTCACCTAAATCAAATATCATCAAAACGAACTACATTTTTGGCGCTAGATTTGAAACAGCAGTCAGATGTTTTAACTCTGGCATATAATTTTAAAATTTACGGACAACTGAAACATCAAACGAGTGACGTGAATAGGAATTTGCTTTGTGAGAAGAGGATTATAGATTTTAAATGAAAAATTGTCATATTACCTTCAAACTCTATTTTGAACAAAATTTTAAGCGATTGTTAACGGAGCAATACTTGTTTTATTAACATGCGTAGGTCTGGCGTGACATAGAAAAAACGCATTCACAACAAAACATTTTTACTATTTTGTTAGAATTAATGGAGTAAAATAATTTCACCTGTTGTAAAAATTGTAGAGAATAATATTTCTGAGGATTTGACATTGGTTTTATATTTAATTATTACTTGACTTTCAAAATAAAAAAAAAATTGTAAATTTAGATGATGCTAAAATAGTTTTGAAATAATATTTAGACAAATCCTGAAAAATATTATCCTCTATAATCGTTGCAATAGATGATTGTTAAAGATTGTTCACAAATAATTATTTGGAAATAAAAATTGAAAATAGGTTAAATAGGTTATGTTGAAAATTCTAGCAACAGAAAAAATATAGAATAAACACTTACTGTAGGAATGTTTGCAATGTTTATGTTTAAAAAGGGAAAAAATAGATTAACTGCTCTTCTGAACACCATAGCATCGAGTGTACTTTGTCATTGTAATGTATGTAAGTATGTGTTAAATTTGAATTTAATGATAAGTCATTTCACACATAAAATGATTCCGTCAGTTTCCTAAGCACAACTAAGGGGAAGGATTCTTCTACTTTTAACAAAATTCAGAAAAAATAGGTTAGTCAGCTCAGTCAGCTGCACTATATGTGTTGGCAGTGACTGTAATGGATATGTTAAATTTGAAAAAATCAGAAATCAAAAATCATTGTATATGAAAAACAATTCTGAGCAAAGATAGAATTTTCTATCAGGAACCTCTTTACTTTAGAAAATTAAATCATTATTTTGAATACTTATCATGGGTTTTACACACAAAAAAACAACACATCTTTAAAAAACAACATATTCATTGTTCCCCTCAGAATCTAAAATATGGCTAAGTTTGACAGTGTCAGATTAATAAGCAAAAATATAAAATACAATTGATTTTTGTTGCTAAGTGTAATAGCCAAAAGGACCATCAGATTGTAGAAGGTTGATACACCATTATCATGTACTGCAGATTGGTGGTTGACATGGAAACATAGGCTAGGGTAGGCACATATTTGAAGTTCGTACCGACAACTTTCTCAAATAACAAAAATATTGAATATAAGTATAGGTGTATATATTTTTTGACTTGTACTTATTGAAAACAGGAAATTGGCATAGCTTAATAAAAAAAATTCTGAGTAAATATTAATACATGTCATACACTCAAATTACAAATTATTTCATAAATTTATCTGCACATTTTTTTAGTATTTTGCATGATTCTTTAGCATGCATGAACAATGACGTTGTTTCTTCTATATCTATTCTTAATATTGATCCATGTCCATTCATCTTAGCATTTTGTGATGATGGAGTCAATAATTGAATGGCATATCTGAAAAAAATTAAAAACCAATTTCATTTGTAATAATTATTTCATTAATAAAACATAAAAATTGTTTCATGATTTTTAAGTTATTAGAACAATTTAAATTAATAGCAATTTTTTTTTTTATAGAAAAAATAAAATAAAAACATGTTCTGTATACATCCAAGATCCAGGCTGTGGACACAGAAGAAGGTACCTTCGAATTATTAAGTATACAACCATGAATGGAATAAATAAATAATATATTCCCGACCCGTAATAAGCACATACATGGCTTAAACTATAAACATCTTCACTGTACACACAAAAATTTCATTAAATATGAAATCTGGACAACGTTTAATGTCATAATTAAATATGATGATATTCAAAATATAATAGTCTGGGACAGGTAGAATTCAAATTCAATTGATAGTGACAAGAATATAAAAGAAGCCACTAACATAGTACTATATTTACAACACTTAAATTGTGCAGTTATACTGGGTTATTCACCTAAGTATCTACTAAAAAACCATTAAATCTACTACAAGTTGAAAATATACTATATATGACAAAACCTGTCCACATATTATTATTTTTTTCCAAAGGAATATATATTATACAATGTTGCACAATTTTTTCTAAATAATACAGTTTGATTACACTTTAGTTTTAAAATTCTACTGTCCATATGATTACGAATTAAGCATTTAGAGTGTGTCTAAAGATTTATTATACTAATGCGTGTATAAATAAATTACTGTAAAATGTATTTAAAATAAAAGTGTATTTTGTCATTAACATATACTATGATTGTTAAGTATTAGGTACAAGGTCTATGATTTGTATTGTGCATAGTTATCACAGGTTAATAATATCTTATTTTACAGTTGTATAGCGATAGCTGGAGGGAGATAAAGAAAGTCTCTAATATGTTACAGCCTTAGTTTGTTTAAAACATAAACACAGCAAAATAAATTACCTCAGGGTAGTAGAAGTGCCAACTTCAGCAAGATAATGTAATGCATCAGGTTCAATTGAATGGCCTTCGGTTTGAGCTCTAAGTTTAAGTATACTTTCCATTTCTTCCCGATTATATGGAAGTGTTCTAATTATCAACAATCGATCAAGTAAATCCATAGGAATTCCATGAGGAGCAATAATATCATCTGTTCCCCTGTAACAAGAAAAAAAATAATTTAAAAAAAATAACAATTATTAATAATTAATAAGTATAGTTAAAAAATGTCAAACCTGACGGTACAGTGACCTCTATTGGTAGCAAAAATAACGATAGGGGCAATGGTACTTTCTAATGCTTTGTGCAAATATGTGAATGTTTCCAAATCAAGCATGTGAACTTCATCTATAAATAAAACCCCTGGGACCAATTCAGCAATACCTTGATCAATATACTTGTTAACCACTTTATTGATTTCTTTTCTTAATTTATCTAAAACAAAAAAAAGTTAACAATTTGTAAACAAGTTGCACTATTAATACAACTTTACCAGTGATTTCTGTCTTTTTAGACTTCATTAGTTGACCCATCATTGAAAGTATATCTTGACCACCTTTTGGTTGGGCATTAGCAACATCTAAATCATGTAATGTCACATCTTGGATGACTTCTTTCTTTTTATGAACTTCACCTTTTGGTAAAGGTACATATTCTTCAGCCTAGGTAAGAATACAAAATTTAAGCTATGTAAAAATTATAATTATTTTATATAAATCAAGGAACATGGGATATTAAATTATTTCCTTGCTAGTTTATTTTAGATCTAAATAAATAAACATTGTTAAAAAATTGTACTTATACCACAATGAACGAACAACACTTAGATTTTATTATTGTGTACAGTCAAATTACAAAGTTTGGGGTATTTTATGTTGACTGAAAATCGAGTCAACGTTAAATAAATCATACTATATTAATCTTTCAAATATTATCTTGGAAATTACCTCCAAATCATATTCTGTAGCATAACTATCACTTCTTCCTTGACGTTTCACCGCTCCACTATTAGCTTCAATATAAATAACATCACCAGTTTCGACTTTTTCTTTTTGTAGGGATTCGTATATTGTAGGATCTAGCTTTAATTGTTTTGTACCTTTGGCTGTCTTTAATCCAACAATGACATGTGATACAGTTTTGGAATAACCTGTAGGCAAGATTATTTAAGTTAGACTTTAGGTAGTGAATGTACAAAAATAATCTTAAATAATTTATAAGATTAATAATATAGAGAGCAAAAACAGTTAAACATAAATTAAACAATGTAAAATAATTAATGATCTAACCAGGAGTCACTAAATATTGGTCCACATGTGCCCAGTAGATGACTTTTATGTTTTGGTTCTATGTCGACATTTATTTATTTGATGGTGAATTAAATTAAATTTTATCTTTACTTTCTTTGAATACCCATGTACATTAACTTTAGAAAGCACCCAGAAAACTCCTTAAATTCCTAAAGTAGCTCTTCAAAAATATTAATTTGTGATTCCTGGCCTAGGATGTCAGTTATATAAAGACAATTTGTCCCACACTAGTTATAATTATTGAATTTGGTGGAATTATATAACAATGTATAGGTAATGGACACATGACATCCATGGAAATTAACTGTTGAAATATAGAGATAAATAGATGGATAAAGTAAACAACTTTAATAAATGATAAATTTACCATAAATCGCATATAAAATCATACAAAAGTTCACATAATTATAGGTGGTGATTGAGGGATTCTTGAATGGGCTTAGCCATTTTCTTTATTTATAAGTAAATTGGATCATTTTGGGAATATTTTAGCCCCCCCCCCCTAATATAAGCCAGTCAAATTATTGATCATAAACATAACTAGTATATAACACATTTAATGTTCACCTATTTAATTTGTAGATTTGTATATGTAATATGTATAGTAAAATGTAGATAAAGTAAAAAGCTTAAGTTACAAATAAGATGACTATGTTTCTATAATATCTGCCTTTATTTGTCTATTAAGACTTTTAAGCTTAACTGTGTACATAGGCGCCGACTCCACGGGGGTAAAGGGGGGAATCGCCCCCGTGAATTAATTTAATAGGGGCAATAGTATTATTTCACCCCCGTTGTGTACAACAATAATTATTTGGTTAAAATACCAGATTATGACATGAAAATATTTATCAGAACATCGACAACTGTATTTGTTTATTACCTAAATAATATGATTATCAATAATGATTATAAACACTATAGATCGCTCACTACTATTTGGTTTTATATTTGGTCTGAAAATACA